TGATGTTGAACTAAAAACATATTGGGAAGTGACTTGTGTGTGAAAAAAAAGACATAACTGATGAGTTCTGATGTTGAACTAAAATCATATTGGGAAGTGACTTGTGTGTGAGAAAAAAGAAAAATCTCAAATCTTATTCATTACACACCTTAATTTCGAGCTAAAATTGAATTAAGAAGAATGTGGAAAGAACCTAAAGTTAACTTATTTTTATAAAAATTTCATTTTATTTGGTCGCTTTAGTGGGCTTCTTTTCTTTGCCGTTTGTACTCGACTTATTATCTTAATAACATTTCCGAAATATCCGTTTTGCGGATACTTTTAAACTCCTCTGTCGGATATCAGTGGACCTAAATACCACAGAGGGAAGAGATAAACTGAGTCAAGATAGAGCAAAAAAAAGAAAAATATGAATATTTCGGTAAGGCCCATGAGAGAGGTTGAATACCCGTGTAAAGTGAAAAAAAAAAGTTAAGAAATAATGACACGGGTTTAGGAAAATATGTATTACTCAGTTTCTTTTTTTGTATGAGACAACAGAACTTAAAAGTTGGTAAGCTAAGAATATCATAAGGAGGTTTAAGTTTTAAAATTAATTAAACAAACATTGAATAAGAATTATAAGTTTTAATCATGCACTTACCTGTTGATCGAAAAGAGCCCAAAACACAGGTAGCGGAATATAAAGCCTCAAAACATGGAGCACCATCTTGATCTCTTCTATCAGTTTCAACTGTTGAAATATTTGTGGAAAAGAAACTTTACGTAATCAGTTTTCTTCTCTAAACTAAATATTGTACTTGATTTAGTGTAAAGCAACAACTAAGTTTTTATTATTATTATTACACACTATTTAACGTCGTTGCATTTTTGTTGTTGTTCTTTTTTTAAATTTCGCGCAAAGCTACACGAGGACTATCTGCGCTAGCCGTCTTTAATTTAGCAATTTAAGACTAGAGGGAAGGCAGCTAGTCATCACCACCCACCGCCAACCCTTAGGCTACTCTTTTACCAACGAATAGTGGGATTGAGCGTAACATTATAACGCCCCCACGGCTGAAAGGGCGAGCATGTTTGGCGGGAAACTTCGTTGCCAAAGCATTATTGCACTTTGGGTTGACTGTGATAACGAGGCGGCTACTGATTATAAGTCCTTTACCTCCCTTCCCCCATACAGTGTAAAATCTAAATAATGCCAGATGAATTATAAATTAATAAATGTTTCTGCTTTGTTGCAGTTACTTAATAGTGTTATTTTATTTTTCTTAATAAACACACATTTGTGGAAATGTCAATACATATTATTGTAATGGCAATGATGTTACATGAGTTTTTTTTTCCTAATTTCTAATTTGTAATTAGTTTTATTTCAGTACCTTTCTAATCACACGAATATTTTCAGTTATTCATATGCTCTTTGTTTAAAAAAAAAATCAATGTATCTTATCAATATGTAACTCCTTCCTGTGTCTCAAATCGCCCTAAATCGTGGTGCATAAATAAATGACTTCGTCTCGTTCATTTCACTGTAAAGCTATCCGTTCTCGTGCAGCTTAAGTCTGTGTTTCGTATCATCGCTGTGCTTTTCTTGGTGCATATATGTAACTCCTTCCTGTGTTTCAAATCGCCCTAAATCGTGGTGCATAAATAAATGACTTCGTCTCGTTCATTTCACTGTAAAGCTATCCGTTCTCGTGCAGCTTAAGTCTGTGTTTCGTATCATCGCTGTGCTTTTCTTGGTGCATATATGTAACTCCTTCCTTTGTGTCATGTCGTCATGAGTTACCTAGAAGAACCATCATAAGTCGTCATCGACACGCGATTGGTGTTTTTTTTTTTTTTATTGAAAGGGCGTAAAGAATAGTGGGGCAATCTTGACGCTGATGTGTTTCACAAGAGCCCTTTGCAGTGAAAGTTGCACTCCAGACCAATAGTTCGAAACTAAAGGCATCACACAAAACACAATCAGCAGTGGAAGAAGGGGCTGTAGCAAAGCTATAACATATAACACAATCGGCGGTGGAAGAAGGGGCTGCAGCAAAACTATAACATATAACACAATCGGCGGTGGAAGAAGGGGCTGCAGCAAAACTATAACATATAACACAATCGGCGGTGGAAGAAGAGGCTGTAGCAAAATTATAACATATAACACAATCGGCGGAATATGCAGAATACGCTGCAGTAAAGCCAACACACAGAGCACTTCTGGCTGTGGAAGAAGGGACTGCAGCAAAGCCATCACACGGAAAACAACCGTAGTGGTGTGAACGCCTTTTACAAGCATGATTATAGTTAATTATATATGTCACAAGACATTAGTATTAGGCTTATTATATTTTTTGACGTTGTTAATCTAATCCCTTAAAGGTTTTCAAGAATTAGAGCATTATATATATATATATATTTGAAATAAACTAAACTATGAGAGTTATTGAAGCCGGTAAAACATAAATTGTATGTTCAGACAAGATTATGTTAGTGAATGCCTCTGTTTCCGACGTAACTAAATGAGAATTGCAAACATGTTTACAGGTATTGTTAACTTTTTAATACGTTATTTCCCCGAAAGGGGGCTGAAGGCCGCCTGGAGGGGTCACCTGCTTTAACCACTTGCATCACTGTAGTGTGTTGTCCGTCAGCCAGTCAATAAACACTAAAATTACGTCACATAATGGTCGCTTAACATTGCAATTTATACTGTCGTGACGTCAGTAAAACGTACGCATACCATGAATCACGAGAAGAATTATGCAATCTGTATTCTACACCACAGCATGACATATAATTTTCAAAGGCAAGAAATAATAATATTTGTTACTGTTAATTTTATTTTGTTTTTACTGTTATTTTTACTGTTAATTTTATTTTGTTTTGTTTTTTACTCTTTAAACAAAACACATTCGGGGATCCTGCGGAAGTACATCTAGTAATTAAGATATATTTTACGATATTCTTACATCATACTTGTCATCAGCGTAGTCCAACCAATGTTCTCTCCGTTCTTCTTTTTCTTCTTGGTTCTTACTTTTCGTTTGAGTGCGTACTAGAAAGAATTACAAAACCGTGTAAAATACCAGTCGTGGAACACTTATGCTATCTAAATACATAATTTAATAACCAGTTGAATTCAAACAGTGCACCTCTCTGCTCAGAAGTTGTAACAAAAACATATATCAGGTATTTACGTTTCTTAATGTTTCTATGTATACTTAGTTGGACCATGAAACACTTAAACCTGTGTTCTAAGGTATTTTAGTACTTAAAACACGATTACACAACTGTGGCTTAACCATCACGAGTCTTCCTGAATTTTTTCTTGTTCTTGGAGTTACTCATGCTCTCACTTACGTTAAATAACAAGAAAAGCTAGTGAGTTGCTGTTTAAGAAGACAGTTTGTTGTAGATCTGTGCCTTTACGTCAGTAGTATTTAATTTGATTTTTTACTGTGTGATATCGCTTGTTTTAATAGCATACAACAGAAAATAGGCATAAGGGAAAAATTATACTTACAAATATACATTCCAAAACTCTGAACACAATGTTTCCTTGCGATGGGATAATGTTGTAAAATGGTTTTCCACACAAAAACATAGCTATGGAAGAATTATATCAAGACTCGTAAAGCATATTATCTTTACACTTTGGACAAACCAAATCTTTACTTTTATATATGTTTTTAAAAATTAAAATCCAAGCAATATTTCGATAAGAAAAAAACACTTAATAGATGGCGCAGTTATAGGTAGGCTTGTGATGGATGTTCAACAAATAATTAAGTCTATTTGTTTGTAATTAAGCACAAAGCTACACTATGGGTTATCTGTGCTCTGCCCACCACGGGTATCAAAACCCGGATTCTAGCGTTGTAATTCCGCAGACATACTGCGGGCAAAATAATTAAGTAACCAATCTGAAACATTAGTACAGTACGATTGAAATAAATTATTGTTGTTATTTACTGGTATTTAAAAATCTCTTTACTTTAACAACATCAAGCAACATCAAAGTGTTTTCAAAGCCTTTGCGTCCATTTCTTGTCTTGATCTAATACACTTTTTAACTGATAGGTATGTTTTCAGTAACAACCAAAGTCCTGTTCATTGGGCGTTTATTCAAAATACCTTTCTTATAATAAAATTGATTGTTATATTTTGAAAATCCTACGAACAAAATATGTGTTCAACTTCCCTTAATATTTCACAAAATACGTATTCATCTTCCCTTAATATTTCACAAAATATGTATTCATCTTCCCTTAATATTTCACAAAATATGTATTCATCTTCCCTTAATATTTCACAAAATAGGTATTCATCTTCCCTTAATATTTCACAAAATATGTATTCATCTTCCCTTAATATTTCACAAAATACGTATTCATCTTCCCTTAATATTTCACAAAATATGCCGTATTAAAAGTAATATTATATGATTAACTTCAACTTTTTAACGATCAAATGTCAATACAGAATTCCGTAAAAATTATATATTCAGAGAAAATATTTATATAGACTCTTGAAATTCAAAATAATAACTCTCTGTAAAAGAGCTATCCACCGTTTTGCCAGTGACTATACTTTTTTTAAAACCCAAAATTGGGCAGAAAATGGCTGTCCATTATAACGTTCAACCTGTATGTCTTTTGTAAACTGTTTGGTACCTTGAGTTATTAAAGTACTCTCAAGTTATGATTAATGGCGTTGTATGGTAGTCCTGAAAAATACAATTACAGCAACATGAAATTTCTAAATACTACATTTTGATTTGAGCGTGGTTTGTGAAGTATACGTGATCAGTTCAAGACTTGTAACATTCAAATACTGGAACAAGTAGGAAAAAGTTCAAACACAAACTACTCACCTAATGCGATTATCATAAGAATTGAAGGAACCCCAAATGCAAGTGGATAACACGTATTGTTGCCAAAACAATGTATGTCCGCTAAAAGAAAGAAACAATATTTAATAATTTCATCAATATATCGACAGTAAAATTGTACTGAAATTCCATACATGAAATACAAAAGAGGCGTAATTAATCTAATAATTTATAAAAAAAAATATCCCAAAATTGTTGACGGTAAAGGCTACTCTGACTGAAAAAACCGTTATTATGCAGAGTGTTGTTAGAATGTTATTATGCAGAGTGTTGTTAGAATGTTATTATGCAGAGTGT